GAACTTATGGTATGTTGGTTTGGGTTTTCTAAGAAGCTGATGCGAAGATGGGACTAGATGTGCAAGAGATTAATTGGGGGAAACTCTCCTGAGGGATCTGCATGAGGCTGGGAGAGGCATCAGACTGCACTGTGGGCCTTACCCCTGTGGAGAAGTAGGGAGGCTAGGAAGGAAGGTTGAATTGGAAAAAAGTAAAGCTGTGGAGCAGTTAGTTCTACGAGTTTCTGCAAAGCCGACAAGAAGTCCTCGAGCCAGAGTTGTCCATCAGAGGAGTCCAAGGTCTCAGCAATTGGCCTGCCTTGGTGTCTCCGCTGTGCTCAGTCATTGGCTAGGAGCAGCTGGTGGGAAGCATAACCTTGGCTGAAGCAGTGATGGATTTCTGAGCACAGCAGCTGGGACTGTCAGTCAGTTATGCTTCCTGCAGTCAGAGCTCTGAGAGGCACAATTTCAGGACTGCTACACAAGGTTTTCAATAGTTACAGAAATAAATGTATAGAAACAGTGATGTAGATGTGGGCAACTTAGATAAATGGTTGATTTCAGAGCTATAGAAAACAGCAGCCCGGAATGTGTTGTTGTACCAGAAATCAAGAAATGCTCAAAGAGTGATGGGGACATGTCCATAGGACATAGAAGCCTGCTTGACCCAGTTCCCACTAGACAGTTTTGGAACAATTTCAGCATCAAAATAAACAATGTTAGTAGTAGATTATAACCCTTTGAATAAAATGAGATTCCATGAGTTTATACTTGCCCAAAAAATAAATGAATAACTTGGGAGCTTGACAGCAGAAAATTACATAGTTTAAAATGTCTTCTCAAAATTCCTATTAATTATTACGAGGAAGAAGTGTAACCTTACAGTGGAGAAGCTTGGTAGACACTATCCTGATCAAATGATCAAAGTGGACATGAATGGTAAATTATACGTTATTTCATAGGACGCTAAGGGAACAATACAGCATCTCTTTGGTGTCCCTGCCAAATATGTATAACTTGCCTCTCATCACAGTGGAGCATCAGACAAACCAAAATAACTGGACTATACTCTTCAAAGTGTCAAGAGAGACTGAGGAAGGGAAGAAAAGAAAAAAACCAAGGAAGTGTTCCGGATTAAAGTGATATGAAAACTAAATGTAACACTTGACTCTGAACTGGATCCTGTTTTTTCTCAGTATTCCTTTGGAACAGTTGACAAAATTCAAGTAGGGTTCATGGATGGTAGTAATGTGTTCATGTCAATATTCTGGTTCTATGTATTGATTTTTTTATTGTATAGGAAAATATCCTGGTTTGTAGGAAATGCACACTAAAGTATTTTGGGGGTGATGGTACACACCAGGTTGGTTGGTTACTTACTCTCAAATGGTTCAAAGATGGAGGGCACAAAATTGCCCCATCCAATATGTGCAATTTTTTTGTAAGTTTAGATTGTTCCAAAATTAAGGAGCACACAGTTAAGTAATCTAGGTAATTTTAGGCAGTTATCTAATGTATCAATATATTATTTGTTACTTCCAATTTGGGGGTAGGGGTTTAAGAATGGGGAAGGCTGACAAAAATGTGGTGAGGCAATTATAATCTACTGTAAATGAAATCTATTTAAAGAATCGTATTCTCGCGTATGGGCATAGAACACGTTTTCTCCGTGTTGGCAGAATATTAGGACCTCATAGTTTCAAAGATATTTTATTATTGGAAAGTATGTACTCATTAAACAACCTGCTTGCTGTGGAAATGAGGGGTAGGGGAAAGTTTCAGCTGCTAGAGAGCTTTTGAGAAAGCCTGTATGTGAGACTTACGTTGGTTGTGTTCGTATCAGGAATATTTGATCATGTCTAATGGAAACTTCACTTTTAACAGAACCTAAATGTCTTTTAGTTTGGAGAAGCAGTTCAATCCCAGCTCTAATTCTCTTTGTGTTTCTAGCTGATACAGAGAGAGATGACTTCCTGTTAGACTTCTAAGGCTGGCAGTGCCCTTTTTGTATGCTGATTGTGAATTATCCATTCGAGGCAGACATGTGTAATTGGAGTAGAATTACTGATACACTCAAGAAAGCAGAACTTTTGAATTTGTCTAAAACAGCATAATGTCATGGCATGTGATTTAATGTTCTCTTTTCTTACTGGGCAAATGATCAACATACCACTGTTGGTTTCTGAGCCATCTTTGGCCCAGGGGGAAATCTCCTGACCTTTCATTAGCAGCCAAAAGAAATGAATGAGAGAGTCAAGTACATGGATCTAGGTTAATTCCATTTTCTGTCTCCCTTTCATTCTGTTTAAATTCAAGTCTTAGGTAATGGAGAGGAGAAGCACAAAAGCTGGTAAGGCATACTTGGAAAGCTTTTGTCCTTAACACTATTCTCGGCAAGCTTGGCTAATATATGCTTAGGATAATAAATAATGTTCCAGTGCTGTATTTCCAAAAACAATTAGGTGTTTTTCTGATATTTCGGAGAGTATCCCAAAATTTTCAGGATGTATTAAAACAAAATTATAAGAACGTGCTGTGATTTTTGCCACAGTGAAAAATATTTTTTATCCTAAATGAGCTAAATTATGTCATCCAGAAAATATTTACTGTCTCCTTTATGCCAAGTGTGGTGCTGGTCCCTGTGCACACAGCAAGGACGAGGTGGCCCTTGCCCTCTCAGCCCTCATAACGAGAACAGAAGATGGACACTGAGGGAGTTATCATAGGGAGGCCACATGGAGAAGCAAATACGTATGATGTGATTCTCACATGCCTGACTCATAGTGAATGCCCGATAATGATGGTGGTTATTATTACTTCATGTGTTTTTACTCTCTTTACTGCTAAGCACCAGCACCACAACTGTTCCTCCAGGAGAAATCTGTAATTAGGGATATGAAGCTAAGAGAATATGGCTTACACTCTTAAGCCTCAGAGAGAAAGGAGAGGAGGATAGTGGGCAGGGTGTGGAGTTGGGAATCTGGGGCCTTGCCTGGCCTTGTGCACATTTGCTGACAGCATATGAGGGCAGCGACCATGAAGGGATGGGGAATGATGGTGCTCTTGGCTCTCTGCTGGCAACGCAGGCACTCAGTAATTCTGTGAATTGATCTGAGTGGCATTAACAGGAGTGGATCCTTAAACATTTGTGCTGTTTTGGTTCATATTCTCTAGCTTTTCAGATAGAAGCTTGTTTGTGTGAATTTTTTCTTTCCTGCTTTGTCATTCCAGCTTTATCCTCCAGACCCCATGTATTGACTTTAAAATGTCAATGCTCAGTAATTCAAAATGCAGTAACAAATATGTCTTTGTTCTTCTGGCATTTCTAATCACTCAGACATCTCAGCCTGTCACAAGTGGAGTTGTCCCCCAGTCTTCTCTCTGGCTCCTTGGTGGGTTAGAGCCTGTCTCCTGCCCTGTTGGGGTTTCATGGTGACACCCTTAGTTAAATTCTCACCATATATCAACATCTACATCTGCTGACTTGCGGCTGTTGGCATTCTTCATGCTGCCAAACGCAACTGTGTGATAATGACAGCGTTTGCCAGCATGCTTATGCGGTGACTCAGGGGACAGGGTGGCCAGCAAAGCAGCCTCTTTGTGGGAGTGGATTTTGAGAAGTGCTAATTCCGTGGTGCTTTGGAGATATTAATATCATGCTGGCGGTAGATAAACAGGCAGCAGAGGGGCACATAATGAGAAGAGAATCAGCCACAGCATCTTTTCCTCCTTTCCCTTCCTGCATATATTATTTTGTTTCCTCGACTTTTAAAAAAGTAAGTCGCTGGGTTTTGGTGAAGAAAACCCTTGTTTAAATGGCTTAAACATTCACATTAAGTGGTTAGTTCAACTCTTAACATCTCCAAAGTCTGGGTCTCTAAGAACACCAGTGTGTTATGGGTTAACTACATTTCCAAACAACACTAATTGTAGCATATGGTACAGTAGCCTATTGCTTAGCATACCCCCTCCCTAAAGGGCAGCTAACCAGATGGTTTGAGTGGGGACTTTCATGTAATTATGACAGACACAAAGAAAGACATAACCACCACTCTCCCCTAATGATATCATGCCTCTTAAATTCCTATACTTGCTACTGGTGATTTTTTGAAAGTTTGTTTTTGCGGTTTGATTGCTTTGCATCAAGATCCCTTCCCAGGATGGGGCATAACCATGCAGACATGTGACATTTAGTGTGAGAGTCATGTCCAAGGCACTTTTCTCCAGTTAGATGTAGGTCACTTGCAGTGGAACCTCTTTATAATTCTGGTGAAAAAAAGAAGATTCAACGCAATTGAGAATTGATTGAAGAAGGATTCTAATTTGTATATTCTGTAGTCCTGAAAGGACATTTGGAGTATTACTCCAAAGTTCGTCATCTCAGATTTTATTTGTTCCTCCATTTTATGCCATTTTTCATGAAGAACTTCCATTCCACCACAGTACCTTCCGCCCACTCCTCCCCAGTTCATTCACAGCCTTACCTGCTGCGCTCTCCTTTGGGTGGGAGAGCCACAGTCAGAAATTCTGATGGTAAGAGAAGCATGCCAAGGGTTAAAACCAGTGTTCCTAACCCTGCTTAACTGGAACAAGATTTTCTAGTTATAATATGGGCTAGAAAGGAGATTTTAAGAAATTTAGGTCATGCTTTTATGGGTTTGTGTTTTTTTAAATCTATATATCTGATGTTTTAGAGCAGACTTTTCTTGAGGGTAGTGGCTTGTTTATAACATTCTGTAAATAGCCTGGCCTAATGTGTGCTTCTTATAGATATTTTCTGCTCGTTTTTATGCATAGATTGATATAGCATCTGACTGTGCTAGACAAAAAAATGCTGAGCTAGGGAACTTTGTTATTCCATCTTTTATTTGGATTTCTAGCTTAGCAACTCATTGCTCTTAAAGTCCTCAGCTTCCCCCTCTGCCAGGAGGCATTAAGACCTCCAGGTGCTAATTATTATTTCTGTTGACTGAGTCCCATATGCACCTCTAGTGCTCACTGACCTATCTTTTCTATTGCAGAAACATTGCTGAGGCCCTTGTCAGCAAAGGTCTAGCCACGGTGATCAGATACCGGCAGGATGACGATCAGAGATCCTCACACTATGATGAGCTGCTTGCTGCAGAGGCCAGGTGAGACGAATAATTATTAAAGTCAACCATTGGGATCCATGACCCCACTATTTCCCCCTGCTCTCCCCAATATCCTGCCTAAACCTGAGCAGAGTGTTATGGGAAATAATATGCTGAGAAAGCTTGTGTTCTCCATTACAGGTTTTCCCCATGAAAAGAAAAGGGGCTCACTTCGAACTTGCAGTCAAACCTTGATTAAGTACAGTCAGGCCTCTATTTTTTAAAATCTGTGTAATAGGGATAGATCAGAGATTTTTTTGTGTCGATGAAGTACAATATTAGGTACTCTTGTCATCACTGCCTCTCATTCCCTGGGACTAACAGTGAAGCCCTGCTTACGTGGGCAGGGCATTTGCCTCTGGTTCTTACCTCCAGAGACCTCTGCTCCCCAACCCTCCCATTTATCACCTCTGGACCTTTTGTCATGTACAAAGGAAATGAAAACATTTATTAGGAAATGAGTTTTGCTTTCACACTTCTGACAGCTGGCAGGAGGGCATTTGAGAAGCCCTGTGACATTTTACTTTTGTCCTTTATCCCTGTGGAGGGTTGCCCCAAGGACATGTATTCTGCTCAGCAATATTTCTTACCAGCAACATTCCTCAAGGCTTTTACTCAATGAAAGGCCTGTCACTGGGCGGTACAGGTAGTTGAGTGATTCCCAGACTTCCCAGGAAACAGAGCAAGGACTGAGCTACTATTGCTGAACTGACTTGGATAACTCAGCAGAGTGCTTGGACTTGACCAAAATACATATGTTTTAAAGTGATATCAGGTAACTTGCCTCAGCCAGTTTTCTTCCACCTAGTGCTTATTTAGTTTTAGAAGTTTGGTGATTGCCAGCTTATGCTCTGTAGTTAGAGGAGGAATAAGTTTGGGCACATTGTTATGGATACTTCAGACTTTGTCATTGATATCACTTCTCTTGCTCTTCGGCCCAGAACATTGCCCTATTATGTGACATTTACCTCTCACACCGTGTCACATCCTGATGGATAGAGCATCTGTACAATGTGACACAGAATGTCAGCTAAGAAATCAGTCTGTCAGGCTGCTGCAGCTTTTTTCATTCTTTCTTGTGGGCTTTTCCCGATGGACTCTTTAGTTTAGAACCTAATTCTTGAGCACAAAGAGTTCAGTTAAAATACCAATATCTTTGGTTGTTTAAGGCTCATTAATGGTCAGTATAAAATAATATGGTGGGGAGTCTGTAAATGGTGTTTTTCTAATCCTTTCTCGCTTCCTCATTTTTCTCTCCCTGCCTGTGTTATCACTAAGTCAACTGGGCTGAAAGAACCCATCATGGGAAATGTGGCTTCACATCTCTTAAGTACTATTTGATGATCTAGTTACTGTAGGGAAATGGACAATGATTAGACCATACTTAAGGTGGGATTGGGGTTGGGAGGGGTGTTGGATCCACGCTGAGTACACTCAGCTTGATCTGGTGGTAACTTGAGAAATAGGTTATGCATTCCCAGAGTAGCAGGAGCGCTTAGGAGTACAGTGGGATCTAGAGTCCTATTTTCTGCCCTGGGTTCACTCTGCCACTAGTGAATATTTAATTCTGATCAGTAGGTAGGCATGAAAATAATTTGCATAGCTGCTCTGGAAGGTGACGCCACAACGAGCTCTCTTATGCTGTTGGAAGAAGCTGTGTTGTACACTAATGTTTAATGAGTATGCATAGAATGAAATTTTTTAAGTTTTATGTTTTAAGAAGAAAACAGCCTCTTTAGCCTAGTTAGAACTCATTTTGAGCTGAAGGAATGTACGGTAACAAGATGCTTGCCTGCTGAAGCAGTGAGCTGCCTGGAGATAATTGTGTTGAGCCATTGCTTTCAGACTGATGGTGAAAAAACTGGCTTCAGGGTCACTGCTCTGTTGCAGGTTGAGTAAACGGAGAGAAATTGACTACTTCCCCAAGCCTGTGAGGCGCTGCTCTGAGGCAGTACAGACCTCATAAAGATTTAGAAGAAATGGCCCGCATGAACTGCGAGTTTTCCTTTGGAGCAGGATCCTCAGCGAGCCTCAGCATGGCAGCCCAGTGCCATCTCATAGATGCGCCCCACCAGTGAGGTGAATTAAGATCTGAGAAAGGCTGGAATACCTGCCGGAATGGAATGGTGGTTTTGTAGCCATTAAAAAATATCTTTAGTGTAAAGTGATCCCCTCCCCTCCTCCCATTTTAAATGATGAAGTTGGCCTCACTTCAAGACCATGTATTTTCTGATGCTCTGCCTTATTTTGATTTGCCTGCAGTTTGAAGCGCTCCATTCTCCATAATACATTCCTCATGTTCCCTTAGTGTTCTTACTTGCTTCTGTCACGTTACAGCATGTCAAAGCTCTTTTTACATGGTTCTTCTGCCTCTTTTCCTGTCTGTCTGTTGAATATTATGGGAGTTTAGGGTTGTTTTCCCCAAGATAGATTAGCTGTATTTTTTTCCAGTTGAACTCTGCCTTGTAATTTTATGCCCCTGTCAATGGGCTTCCTCTATATCCCAGCTTAGTGTCCTCTGCAGATCTCATTAGTGAGTTGTTTTTGTCTTCCTTGGCCCTGAATAGAATCCCTAGACAAGAATGGCTTTGGTGTTGACCCCAAGCCTCTCACCGCATGGACTGTCACTTAACTGTCTTTTGTTTGTCATCCTTTAGCCAGTTTTTAATGTTTGGCAATTGCGTACTGAACCAAGCCAATTTGAATTAATTTCCCAAGTAAAATTTCTTGAGATACTGTGTCTAATGCTATAGCATAGGCCAAATTAATAACATCTGCTGTGTTCGTATCATTCAGTTTGGTAAATAATAAGTGGTTCTTTAGGCTCTTCCCACAAGGGTGCCGATTCCAACAATTTCTTTGTCTCTGATCCCTAGGTCTCTGTTTATCACTAGTGATATCAACACAGTGCCCAGTGCTTCTCCCTTGACTTTACTTTCCAGGACTCTGCTTGGCCATTAATCCTTTCAGAGGAACATTCAAAGCTTTCGGGAAAGGGCAGCTGTTAACTTGCCTGACTTACCAGGTCAGTGGACCTGCCTGCCCAGGAGCTGACCAGCTTTCTCAGGGCCCTGCAGCCACGCTTCCTCTGCAAAGCGGGTATGATCTGCCAGCCTTCCTCAGATCATCTGATGGGAGCTCAGGGACTGTTGCATTATGCACCTATTGGGAGACCGGGTGAGACAGAAGAGGAAGAAGAATACCAATTTGCAGCTTGCCTACTGCTTCCAAGCGTATTCACCTGCCTCCAGAAACAGGCTCCTACCGCTTCAACAGCTCTGCTCAGTTAGCCAGCCCTTCCAGGCTCCCTCATGCAGATGCCTGTCTGCTCTTGGGAAACCCTCGTTATGCCTCAAATACATGGCACATGTAGAGGAAGCCTAATCTTTTTTGTTCCAAGGATAAATAAATCCCTAATTCCCAATATGCGGACCTTCTTTTCTAGTTCAGTTGTCTGCTGTCAGCTGCCACCTCTCTCATTACCTTGTGTCCTGGCAAGATAAGGTTTTGGCATTTTTGTGTGTACTCTCAGGTCTGTTCTCCTCTGGGCTTCATTGAAAAGCCCTTGATTTTGTTTGCGGTTCTGAGTGCTTCAGTGTGTGTTGTTCTTATTTTTAGCAAAAAGAACTTAACAGCTGATCCACACTTCTTGGTGACACTCCTGAACTTGGTTCTTCTTTTTAGGGACATCATATGGGCTCCTTTAGGGAGTGTGGCACATTATTTATTTTATGCTCCACCCTGATTTTTCATCCTCCGTGTTGACTTTCCAACATTCCCAGTTCTCAGTTGACTTCGGTATGCTAATGTCTTCGTCCACTGGCCTGCTGCTTTCCTGAGTCTTGATGAGTGGTCTAAAGGCAGGGCTTTTGACTCCTTCAGAGACTCTCTCATATCTTTCTGAGGGATTTCCAAGATACTGAGTCATTATCAAGACCTTACTTATTTTCTAAGGTGTTTATATACTCTATCCTAAACATCTGGTATAACACATCCAGTATGATTTTTAAAAACAGGCCAGAATGTGAATTTCCCCAGTGTTCTAGAGGTCATCCCAGTGGGCTTTTGTTGAGCCTGTCAGGGACACTGAAGATGAGCTGGTCATGCTGGGAATTAGATCAAAGCCTGCTGTGTGTCTTGTTTTCCTTGGACATCTGTACCTGGAGAAAATTATCTCTGTGCATTCTTCAAAAACTAGCAATAACTGTATTTTAAAATGTAATACTCTAAGGTTTCCCAGAAACTGTTAGCCTCTGTGGCTCATTGCAGGAAAACACAGAAGTTGGGGCTTTATTTCTCTAAGGCACCTCTTAATTCTTAAGATTTTGTGATATCAAGACAGGATGTATATATTCAGGAAAAAAAAGTGATACCCCAGCTTGACTGTGGGAAAGCAGTTGTTTTGAACAGTCTAGTGTCCTAGCCAATTTAAATGAATTTAGAGTCATTGGTATCATATATAATGAGCTTAGGGTTATCTTAGGCGAAGAGAAAAGGACCGGCTCTCTCTTATCTTTTTATGTGTTTTCTATTTCCTGCCCAGCACACTGCAGGTTAAGAGAACTGTGGTGTTGTCCTGTGTCTCTGAGAAGCAAGCATGAGCCTGCCCCTTTCTCAGCTCTGCCTTGGCTCCCTCTCTTCCCAGGCCCTAGAAGGACTGTTTTCTGATTGAGTAACCCTGCAACATTTCCTTTTTTAAAGAATAAAAACCACCAACTAGTGTTCCTGCCTTGCTGACTTCTGCATCTTCAGCCTCCAAACCCCATCAACACCAGTCCTTGATTAAAGTCCTATCAAAATGTTTTAAGTAAGAGTCTCTCCTGGTGATGTAATTACCTAGGGCCATGATGTGCCTGCCAATTTCCATGCATTTGTAGCAGTGACTTGTAAATGTATGTTGTATTTGTACTGAAGTGCTTTCAGTGTTACTGGGAAAGAAGTGTTCTTGGCCCCTCATTTTTTCTGACTTATAGAAATTTTTCCATATTTTTTCTGACTTA